ACATATCAAACTTGGTCCTCTCCATGTATTGTGATCCTCAGGTGTTTCTCTAAAGTAAATTGGATAAGAAACCATAATTCTCTATTACTTACATTAGAAAAGTCATAGTACATTTTCTCTAAGAAAAATAAAAACAATTAATTACAAATTGTACATAAATATTGAAATCGCATCGTGTGAGCCAATCTTGTAACCACTAAAGAATCTGATCTTCACCACACTCCAACCCATAAATTGAAGATTCTACCAGAGTTATTCCAAAGAATAACAAAAAATATAAATAATACACATTTATATCATTGTCCTAAATTGGGAACTGAATTCTCAGTATGGATTATTTCTAGGTCAAATTTGGCTATACTAGTATGGCTGATTTGACTATTTGTTTCAAATTTGCACAAGTTCAGTGTAAGAACTGAACCTAATGCCTTGATATCACTAATGGAAGGATTGAATCTTAAATAAACATGTCTGAAACTATTATAACTATTTGCTGAATTAAAAAAAATTCAGCCCAACCAGAGAACCGATTTCTCAATATTTGAAAATCTAAATTTTTTGGATCGAACAAGCACCAAACTTGGACTAGATTTGAAACCATAATTTTGAACTGAACATACCTAATTCGAAGTCCATAGAATGAAACTCCTAGAGTGGTAGTTCACGCCCAATATTAGACCTCGATTGACCTTCATGGCACAATTGTATATGTGAAGTTGATTCAGCGACACTGTTTTAGTCAATTCGAACACTAATTGGTGGGGATTCAATGCAGCTTTGTGAAAATCCTTTTCTTTGATGCTTTTCTTCGAAAACACAATAGAGAGTTAATGGGAATCAGCCTTCTCTATGGTTTGTTCGAATTAGGGCTTTTGGGTGCAAGGGAGAAGAGAAAGAGAGCAAGAGAGAGTAGAGATAATGCATGGTTCACCCCCTCCCTCTAATCCCTTTTATAGAGTTTTATCCTAATTGAATTAGGTCTTATTCAAAATCATATTTGGATTAGGACTTAATCCTCTTAATAGAATGTGTGCTCCATACCTATTTCCACACTCAAATTTGACTTATATCATATGGAAACTTAAGTCATTATGTGACCTCTTTAATTAGTCATACTTGTAATGAGATTAGACCCATTTTTTGTAATGGTTAGCATACATAGGCATTGCACCGCTTCTTAGGCCTGACTATTATGTGGCTTGGGACCCAAAAAATTCTCACACAAGTCCATATGCGTTCAGCCCATGTCTAGAAAGAGAAGCTGATTTCACTACATAAGGGCAGTAAATCCTTGAGCCAATCAAGTTGGGCTTGGTCTGGACCCAACACTTAAGTATAAGTGATCTTTGGGTTCAGCCACCCTATGAAATCTAAGGATAATGAACTGATATAAGATTAATATGTAAGTATAAATACACTTTGCAAATCCGATTTCAAATACATTTGAAACCCATTGTCGATAGTTTTAGGTTTCCATCAAAGAGAGTATAAACCCTAATATTCATTTTGTTTGACAAAGGGGCTAATCGTATCACTATGATCACCCACTCAGATAATATCCTAAACTGCTTCAACATGACCAGGGATTTGGCCTTAGATGGATCTCACTGGTTAGCATGCATATCAAAAGCAGCTCAGTCCAAGACCAAGTGTAGTATCATAATCAAGTCTTGGGTTTAGTGCAACTTTCTAGTTTTTCCCATCTGTTTCCAAGGTCCAGGGCATAATTGGAAATTGGTGTGGGTTTAATGCTTCTTACAAACACTCACTGTCTAATAACATCTTCCTCCTCCTCCTTAACCTTTTTTCAAACAAAAAACCAAAAAGCCTAGAGAATTTCTCTTTCTCTCTCTCTCCACCCAAAAAAACCTAGAACTGAAGTTCTCCCTTCTCCTTCCCCTACTTTCAATCCAAGAATAAGTAACCTTACACCTATTTTGATTTAAAAAGATGAGAAAGCAAGGCAGCTCAAACCAATTTAAGAAGAGAAGAAGAAGAAGAGAAAGAGAAAAAGAAGAAGGAAGAAGAGGGCCAAGCCAACCTCTTATTCAACCAAGAAAAAGAGAAAGAAGGAATAAAAGAAAAAACCAGTTACTCAGTCGATCTTAGACCAAGAGAGCACACTATTTTCAGGCTGTCAGAGCCCTCATTTCACCTAAGTTCTTCACCTCTTTCAAGTCTAGTATTGGCAATAGAATCTTCTATGTTTTTCTTTGATTTTTGTTTTCTATTAGTGCTGAAATGTGTTGCCAATTAATAGCTAGGCTGTACTTTAATCTCCTTGAAAATGTATTAGAATATGTTAGCATATTCTAGTGTTATTCAAATAGCTTCATAATATATAAAATATGTTCTCATTTTATTAAGTCGTATTCAATACATGTTTCTCCTTTTTGTGGCATGCCTTTCCCAATGAGTGTGTTTGATTTCCCTCGTCCGCTTTTTGTTAAGTAGTTAAAGTGAGATTTTCACATGAGAATAATGGAATCCTTGAACAATTCAGTCCTATGTGCTTTCTATTAGGAAGTCTAGGATTGGATAAAAAGAGGTTGAGAGGAGGCCTCCCTACTTCCTTGCTCCAACCCTAGGGTATTGAAGTGTTCAAGGTGCTTATTATTTTCTTGCCATGGGAAGATTTCAGCATAGGAGTGACTAAAATTTTAAGTTGCTAGCTATTTTCTTTGTTAAATTCTTACGGGAATGATACTAAATTTAATTAAGGGTAAAGAGTGCTTAACACTTTCCCTCTCTCCCAAGGTTTAAAATTTTGATACGATACGCTAGATATGGGGCATATCGTATCGTATCTTTGAAAAATAGATACAAGATATGCATAGAAATTGAATATTGTCATTTTTTCATGCGTATCGGACCCATATCGAGGGTGTATCGGGCGTATCAGGGGTATATCAGGGCGTATCAGTAGCGTATCGACAAGAAAAATACGACCAAAAACTAAAAAAAGTTAAAGGGGAAAAGCAAGCTTTTTTCCCCAAAATAAGCCTTCTTTCACCCCCAAATGACTCTAAAACTCCAAACTTCAATCCTAGAGTGCTAAATTTTCACAAGAAACAAGTGTGAATCATTAATTTTTTAAATATTTTTCAAAATTTAAAAAATATGGCAAAAATTGGTAAACTTTTTCAATTTTTTATAATATCTTGTGATTTACTTTTTTTCTTGAATGTTTAAAATTATGTTGATCTACATTTCTTACATTCAAAGTCGAATTTTTTTTGTGTTATTAGTAGATTTATGGAAATTTCATGAAGATATTTGGGAAAAATATAAATTAACGAAAATTTTGAAAATGTAATTTGTTCTCTACCTATAAAGACTAAATATGTTTTAGATCTATGGGTTTATCTATCATATCCATAGAGCAATTGGAATTTCTTTTTTAATATTTTTTGAATTAAAAATTAAATAATAATTAATTGTATTTTATTATTTGATCATAATAATTGAATATATTATAATTCTATGGATGATCTATCATATCCACAGACCAATTGAAATTTCTTCTTTAATAATATATATATATATATATATATATATATATTTATTTTTATAATTAAAAAAAATTAATTAATTATATTTTATCATTTGATCACAATGATTGAATATATTATAACTCTATGGATGATTTATCATAACCACAAAGCAATTGAAATTTCTTCTTTAATAACTATTTTTTGAATATATTATATAATGTTTATTTATTTTTATAAATTTTTTGAAATGAATAATAAATAATTATTAATTATATTTTCAAATAGAAGTTGTGCCAATGCATGGTTTATGGTTGGATAGGAGAGTTGGGTTTTTTCCATCCCATAAAACAGTAAAACTTAAGAATTATAATTTATAAATTATAGTTAAGCATAGGATTTTTAATGAAATTATAATTAACTACAAATATTTCTTCATAAAACAATTAAAATATATTAATTTAATATATATACACCTCATTGAGGTCTTATATTTAGTGTTGCTGATGTATTTGTATGATTTATTAAAATATTTGTAGTGTTTCCAAGTGTATCTTGTGTATCCAAGGCGTATCCCGATCTGATACACTTGGCATTTCTGATACTTTGAACCTTGCTCTCTCCCCTAAAAAGTACCTAGAAAAGCCTTAAAGTGGCCTTAAGATTCAATTAATGAGCTTAGGAGTCAATTTTTGGTTTCTTGAACTTGAGAGGCCCATCACTCCCATGTTTTCTCTTTGATTGGTGGTGGCTCCTTCACATTCCAGCCATGAAATGAACCCCAAATCAATTGGGTCCTCACGGAGATTTGCTTACACCCTTGGAAGAACTAAGGTGGGATGCTATTCTTCAAGTCAAAAACCCCTTATTTACCATCCTAGTTAGACATTTTTATAAAATTTTCAAGTTGAGTAAAGATGAGGATCACTTCAACTATTTTAATTTGTTGCCATAGGGCGAAGAAAATTGGTTACATGTATCTATTGAGAGTTTGAGACTTCTTACATTATTAGAATCGAACGGAAATGTGTGTTGAAGGGAGTTTTTTTTTCTTTTTTTTTTTTCATACATACATTACAAAATCGACCATTAGTATATTGAAGTGTAGCGAGTTTGGTTTCACACTGTGTTTTAACTTGCCAGAACAAAAAATTTCCACGGGAAGAGATTTACGTTTCAATTCCGTGTCCAAACTTTTCCCTACGAATGTGAGAATTTTGATCTTGTGGGTATTTCAACCTTTTTTATGGATCTTTCAGACGTTTATTTGGACTGTTGAAAACCTTCATATATACCAAAACTTTGACACCTACCACATATTTATAACAATGGCTGTTGCAAGAAAGGCTGATCTTATCATTTCTTCTAATTAATCTTATCTGATACAAGTTTGCATTATTTCTCTCTCTCTATATATGAGAACCTAGCCTTCGATCTCCATTAAATCTTTGCATCATTCCATTCATCCTCTTCTCTCTGTGATCAGGAATATCAAATACTGAGTGACCAATGAAGATTCCTTTGCTGTTTCTGCTGCTTTCTCTCTTCCTCTTGGCTCTGGCCGCCAAGTGGTCGCCGGTGATAGCCCAAGATGAACCGGAAGCTGTACTTGACACAATGGGTCGCCAGCTATATTCAACAGCCACGTACTACATCTTGCCTGCCAACTCTGGTATGGCTGGTGGGCTGAACTTTGAGAGCACCCAGAATGGAACATGCCCATTTGTTGTCATCCAAGATGAAGACCAGGAGTCCGACGGTCTCCCACTCTCCTTCTCACCGGTGAACCCCACGGAGGAGATCATCCATGTGTCCACAGATCACAACATCAGGTTTGCCATCGAGACAAGTCTCCCACAACCAACCGTGTGGAGCCTCGAAGGCTTGGACGAATCAACCAATACGTTTTCTGTAGACACATGTGGGTCTATAGGAAACCCAGGCCGTGGAACGCTAAGCAACTGGTTCACAATTGAGAGATACGACGACAATTACAAACTTGTTTTCTGCCCTACTGTCTGTGATTTTTGCAGACCAGTATGTGGAGAACTGGGCATTGTTATCCAGGATGGAATCAGACACTTAGCTATGCGTTCTGGACTCGAACCATTGGAGATCAAGTTCAAGAGGGCGTGAAACAAAATCTGCTCGTCATCTGGTCGAAGAAGCTATCAGTTTGTATGATCGATATACTAAATAATAAGCTGACTATGAAAATTTCTTAAGAATAGTAATTAATAAAGCATAAATGATGTATTATTGGGTTTTCTGCAATCTTCAAACCATTATTATATTATTTAATCCTGATCAGCTGAATCAACAACGACTAGGCAGATCGCTTTGTCTCTTCTGCCTTAGCTAGACGACGACACCCCACGCATAGTGTGTCCAAATAGAATCGCAACACCTTCCCACCAAACATCTCTTCAATCAACATTTTTAAAAATTTTTATGAAGTACCAAGGCTCAAGGTTCAATTTGGAAAGAGTACAAATGCAAATATGCACAGTACAAATAAATAAAAAATAATACAAAATATAAGGTTTTGCATTCTATATATTTTCATTTGTACTCTTTCCAAATTTAGCCTAATATATAGAATGTAAAACTTTATATTTTATATTATTTTGTATTTATTTGTACTATTTGTACTCTTTCCAAACCGAGCCTTGGGATTGAAGAATTAATGTCATAGGAGTAATGCATAAATATCTCAATTAATCTCAGCCATAAAAATAATGTATGAAAGTATTTAAAAAACCTAGGCCAGGTAAGGTAATATATCAAGTCAAACCCAAGATCTAGACAAACATAATGACCTCCTCAAATCAGTTAATGAATCTCATCCATACAAATGATGCACCGAAATTTTATCTAATTTTGAACTTCAAAATAATATATGAATCATTTAGTCCTCATCCATACAAATTGATATAACCAAATTCATATTGCCTATCACATTCAGACATGTGGCAAGCCTAGGGTGACATCATTGTCATCACATAGGGTTCAAAGGGCAACCTTGTCATTTTCCTTCACAACTTGAGGAGGCGCCATAATGGCAGGCATTACGACCTTGGCCATGGCCCCCCTTGTACATTTATGACAAGGTAACACTTGGCGAGCTGAAAGTAGTAACCGTTTGGCGAGCTGACACCACACTTGTATTTACACTAGGTATCATGTTGGCCATTAGGCATTGGGCCATCATAGGAGCACAAATCAACACTGAGAGCGGAGCAATCTCGACCAACGAAATGAAGCCCATCTTTAACCCACTAATCCTCCTTAAGTCTGAGAATTCATCTAAGTGGGTGATCATAGTGATAGGATCACCTCCCTTGCCAGATAAAGTGAATGATAGGGCTTATACTCTCTCTGGTAGAAACCTAAACTATCGACAATGGATTTCAACTGCATTTAAGATTTGGTTTTGCAAAATATATTTATATGATATACATTAATGTTTTATGAAAAAAATATTTGCAAAAGGTTTTAATTCCAAGGATTAATCCGAGCAGAGAGTGTGACATTGTACCTTGCAGCTAGGGGAGAGGTCATTCCCTATTAGGCAGTGTTTGATCATTATGGGCCGAGATGTTAAGTGTAAGAGACCATTAAGGGTTGATTACCTGATGAGCTTTATCTTACTTAAGTCCATTATCTTTGGGTCTTTGTAGGATGGCTAAATTCAAGGATCATTTAAGTTTAAATGTTAGGCCCATATTGAGCCCATAGTGATGTGCTCGGGGGTTCACTGCATTTAATAGTGAATTCGGCCAAGCCTTTTCACAGAAGATGGGTCGAACCCATGTGGACTTATGTGATGTCATTGTGGGGTCACATGCCATACAAATCAAGCCTAAGTTGGCCATTTAATACCCTTGGGTCATGAGCCTTATAGCTGATGGGCCTAAGGCTCATAATTAATATGATTAATTAAACCGTCACATGACAGCTTAAGTTGTCATGTGACATGGGGCGAATATAGGTATGGAGCACAAAATCTTATAAGAAAATAAGGTATATCTCTAATTAGAGTCCATATTTGATTTAGATCTGGATTATCTCCTAATTAGATTAGGAAATAGCTCCATAAGAGATTATAAAAAAGGAGGGGGCAGACTAGTTCAAGACAACTTCATATTTTTGTAGTTTATGGTTCTCTGTGCACCCTTTTATTTTCTAGTTTGACATCAGCTATCTGGGACTGATTTAGATCAGTTCTCCTCTGATTTTTGCAAGAAAAATTCAAGGGATATCAGGTTCATCATCCTCAGTTCGATCCAAGCAATTGAATCACAATTTTGTAGAAAACTATGTTGTTGAACTGGCTTTAGGAATACACTGTGCCATTTTCAGTGGAGGTTGGTTTTAGGACTAATGCGTGAACTTCTACCTTGGGATTTGCATCTTTGGTATCCATATCAGGTATACATCTTCCTCTTTGATTGGTTTCAAATTTGGTCCAGTTCAGTGCAAGACTGATCTTGAAAAATTCAGTTTTTCAAAACATAGGGAATTCGATTCTCGAAATGATTAGAAAATTTTTAAAATTTCGTCCAACCATCTAGCATGGTTTGGCCATTCATATGATGGATCCTAAAGCATCCAACAGAAAATAAGACCATCAAGCACTTATTAGTTGATGAATGGACTAACAACAAGAGAAAGGATAGGGATGAGCCAAGGCCTGATGGCTCTGGCAATAAGAAAGTCAAGTCCAACTAAGCTGAGTTCCAAAATGAAGTATTACCACAACATTAGCCATAATAGGGAAGAATTCCATGTGATCAAGAATGAAATTGAAGCCCTCAACATGAAGGGATATTTGAAGGACATTGTCTTAAGTGATCAATTGGTCGAGGTAGCCTTGGATCCAACTGACTCGCCAACCAATAGACCACTGGTTGGGGTCATTAATGTTATTTTAAGAGGCTTATTCTCAGGTAGAGAAAGTTCTTCTACTAGAATGATCTATACCTAATAGCTTCAAATCAAGCATAGGCACTACAAGAAAAAAAAACTGAGGAAGTTATCACCTTCTCCAATGATGATCTATAGGGGGTTGTCACCCCCCATGATGCACTAGTGGTTTCCCTCACAATCGCTAACTTTAAAGTAAGAAGGATCCTCATTGACAATGGCTCCTCGTTTGATATCCTATTGAAAGAGGCCTTTAAAAAGACTAAGTTGTCCCTAGATCGACTTTAGCCTACTAACATCCCCCTAGTCAGTTTCTTTGGAGTAGTAATCAAATAGAAAGGAAGGATTACCCTACCTCTCATGGTAGGAATCAAATCCTAACACACCACTCTTATGATCAAGTTCCTAATTGTCAAAGTTAATTCTTCATACAATGTAATCATTGATTGCCAACATTACATGCTTTAAAGGTGATGGTTTCCACATACCACCTAGTAATGAAGATCCCTATGGAACACACCATTGGAGTGGTCAAGGGATACCAGTAGATTGCAAGGCAGTGTTGTGTAATAGCACTAAATTGAAAAACCAAAGAAGCCCTGCTTATTGAATTGAAGGGCTCGACCTCTAAGAAAAATTAGCCAACTGAGGCCAACTTGTAGAAGACCACGTGATTGTACTCTTAGACAAGGCTGAGCCCAAAAAAATATTATAAGTTGGGTCCCATCTCCTAGAGGACATATGTTTTGAACCGATAAGCTTCCTCAAAGCTGACACTGACATATATTTTTGGTTTGTTACTGACATGCCAGGAATTGACCCCTCAATCATGACTGACAGTGGAAAGTGGAAAGTGATCGAAGAGAAAGTGAACAAGTACTTAATGTCATGTGGTTATGTAAGGAAGGCTAACAAAAAATGATGAATATACATTGTTTTCACAAATCTCAATAAATCCTACCCTAAATACAACTTACCCTTTCCAAGAATTGACTACCTCATTGATGTCACCTCAAGGTTTGAGCTCTTCATCAGCCTCATGGATGCCTCTTCCAACTATAATTAGATGCACCCTGAAAATGAAGAAAAAACTGCCTTCATCACAAAGTATGACACCTATTGTTATAAGGTGATACCATTTGGATTGAAGAATGCTAGAGGCACCAATCATAGGTTGGTCAATAAGATATTCAAGGAGCATATTTGTCATAATGTTGAAGCCTATATTGATGACATGGTGGTGAAAAATCTCCAAGCCAACCAATACATCACTAACCTTGACGAGGTGTTTGACATGCTATATGGAGATATTAGATGAAACTGAACCCCACTAAGTGTGCCGAAGGAAAATTCCTTTGGGATGACCTCATTGGTCGAATAGTGGCCCTCTGTAGATTCATGTCTCGGGTCAAAAAATTGATAAATACCACACACACAAAATAGGGGATGAGTTGGTTTCAACTAACCACTCAACACATTGGGACATGGTGGTTATGGGGCCCAACTAACTCCATGTCCCTCTTTCCCCTTGTCAATTTTGGATCAGAGGTCATGTCTGAAGTTGACCAGATTTCTTACTCACTTTCTTTACCTGTTCCCTACCCACAGTACAATTGCAGCTGCACATCTCACAATACATGGCAACGTATGGGTATAATTCAAGGCGGGTAAAGTGTGGGTAGAGAGTAGTGGGCAGGAAATCACATTTGGTTCCAAGTTAATGTTTCATTACTTCGTCACCTGAGGGGATCCTTCGGGATCAGATCTAGTAGGCACATCAAAGTAAGCATGTTAAATGAGCACTTGATAAATATTTTGACAACTATCAAAAGTGGGGATTAATCTTTTTCAAGGGTAGAGTGAGGGTATTTTAAGGGACAGGTGTCAAAAAAAATTTCAAGTGCTCATTGGACGTGCTTACAACTTCGTGCCTATCTCATCCAAACTCGGATCCTTCACAACATCTTGTTGATGAAAAAAGTCCTTTTTAATATTCATGCAGCAATTTTGGTAAACTATAAGAGTATTCATTGTCAGTTTTTATCGAAGACAAAGGTATTGTTTCATCCTTTCTATATTTATATTTTGTTTTGGGAAGAAACGATGAATTCAGGGGGCATTTTCTTGTTAATTTTTGTGTCTTGCTACAGCAGAGAAGAGGAAGGGGTTGAAAGAGGGAAAAGAGGGAGGGGAAAAAGAAGAAGGAAGAGAGAGAGAGAGAGAGAGAAGGGGGCCGCCTCTAGATTGGTTGTCGAGAGGAAGAAGACAATCAATAATTTTTGTCCCACCATAAACTGAAGTGTGGTAACATGGAAAATTTGATTAAAGATCATTGACATGGGGTTCTGTAGAGATTTTGAAAAGTTATGGTGAGTTTTAGATATTATCCCTTAATTTATTAAGTTACTGATGAGTTTCCTAATAAAAGAGGAGTAGTTGTCCATGTACCCTTTCTTTGAGGAGGAAACCAGATTCAAAATGGGAGGTGAGGTAGAGCAAAGCTATTTCACATTTTTTTTTCCGAAGATCAAAAATAGAAACCACAAAATTTTGAGAGTGTTGGAAACTAAATCAGAGGAGAGAGAGAGAGAGGTATCTTATTCTTCATTTTACTGCTGGAGCCACTGTCATGAAAAGATGGATTCTGTAATTTAAACACCTCCTTAATACTCATCCATAACAAAATGTAAAGGAAAAAAAACAAATAAGAAAAAACTGTGATATGGTAAAGCTTGACATGCATTGTTATGAATGCAATTAATTATACTTTGATGACACATCAAGAATGGTGTTGAGCCTTTGTTTCAGGGCCATGGAATTTCATTTTAGATTGGGTATAGCCTTTCATATGGATTAGTTATCTTTAAAAGAGAGCCCTCTTAGTCCTTTATTTTCATATATATGTAGCTAAAATACAAATTGTAATATACCGACATACTTCTATATAAATTAAAACAGACAAAGCTTAGAACGAGACTAAGAGTTTGATTGGAATATCAGTTAATTAAGCAGACCCCCATCATGCCTTCTTGAACATGATCTTCAACGGATTATCAGTCAAAGCCAGATGATGGACTCCATCCTTGATAAAAATGCCAACACCCTTACAGAAAACTTTGCAAGATTTGCAGACGGAAGGACAGAAAACCAGCTTGTAATCATCATCATACTTCTCAATCTTGAACCAACTACTTAAGGTGTCACGACCAGGGTTTCCCAAAACCCCACAAGTTGTAACAAGCTGCTTCCCTATCCATTTACTGTACTCTCCAACCTTCCACACCGACGATGATGGCGGATGGGATATTGGAATAGCAAACTTGATATTATGGTCGGTGGACACACGGATGGTATCCATCTTAGGGTTGACAGGGAAGAATCTGACAGGGAGACCTTTGGATAGCTTGTTGTTATCTTGGACGACACCAAATGGGCATTTGCCATTGTTGGTAGCCTCAAAGGTGAACCCACCACCTTTCTTAGGGTTGGCCGGAAAGATGTAATATTTAACCCCTGAAGAGAGCTTGTGGCCTGCTGTATCGCGTACTGCCGGTGGTGAGGCATCAGCTTTCACCGGAGACAGTTTGGTTCCAAAAGCCAAGAACAAGAGAGAAAGCAAAAGGAAAGCAGTCTTCATTGTCACCTGCTTTCTGTATAAGAAGTGATGACCATGTATGGAAAATGAAGTGAAGAAAAACATCAAAAAGGTATCATATTTATAGGACACTAGGGCTTCCTTCTGCCTTCTGTTTTTTTTTTTTTTTTTTTCTTTTACATTAATTATTGTGGGCAAGACCCAATGGAAAATTAAGATTGGTTTTAAACATTCAAAATCAAAAGGCTTGACCCCAGTATTGGTTCTGATACCAACATGACTAATATCATAGCTAGGCTAGGCTGACGCGAGGAATATCAAATTCTGTTTACGTCTTTAATTTAACTCAATGAATAATTCAACAAAGAACATGTATCAAATCTTTTGTTTTGTTTGAATATTTTTTCTTTGATGATTTTCCCCATCACGTTGTTTTTGATACCACGCACAGGTGAAGTCCAGGTAAATATATACTACAATGTCCCATGGCTCTGTTCGTTTGTTGGATTTTGATAGGGGAAGTTGGTCAATGGAGTTGGTCAATGGGATTTTAGTTCCCATTGACGAAGATATTTATGTTATTTATTGAGATTTATGTGTGATTTACCGAAAATTTATTTTTCTTATGTATCACTTATCAGAGTAAATGAGACACACATCTCTTGGGTAGAAAAATAACTTTTCCACCCAGGAAAAATTTATCAACACTTGGATAGGATAAAATTACCCATTTTAATAATGGCTTTTTATGACTAAAACAGTCATTATAAATGCACTTACTCAGTCATTATACTACCCCTGTGAATCAGCTGTCCAACTCCGTTCAACAATTTCATGTACTTTCTTGCTGTAGTCACTGTTCTCGCTTTACATTCATGTCCAGATCAACCACCAATTGGAGTGCAAGTAATGAAGAATGTAAGGACAAAGAGACAGGTATCTTAGAAACCTAAGCCCCATTTGATGCATCTTTCTACGTGGACTGTCAGCTTTTTAGAAGCTTGAAAGCTCGCATTTTGGTTTTCCTCGTTTGGTAGGAAAAATATCTAGCTGCCGAAAGCCGTAGCCCTAAAAAGACACGTGAAACCCATTTCAATTTATTTTCAAGAAGCTCCAAATAGAGGTTTCCGCCTTTTTTTTCAACTCATCTTCACGTAAAAATATGCATGGACAGACGTGCCTTAACCAAACGGTCTTCAAGCTGCTAAGATCTTGATGTAAAATCTCACATCGTCTTTTGATTGTCAGGATTTCTAGAAGATTTTTCAAAAAAGACTTGCCAAATGGCCCCTTGACCCTTCTTTCTTTTTCCCATCTCTCTCTCTCTCTCTATATATGTTGTAGTAGACATTGCAGAGGGTTATTCTCCTCCATTGAACTTGGTTCCCCTAATTTTACATGACTGGCATCCTTCCTATGTAGGGGTCCCGTTGGACCCCTATTTTCAAGTTGACATTGCAATTTCTGTGAATAAAGGCAAACATACTCTACCATAATATCACTAGATAAACATTTGACCGAAGAAAATTCTTACTCCCTCTTTTACTCTTTCTTCTTCCTCATTTCTCTTCTTCCATGACAATGGCAAATGATGAGATGAGAGTCATGAGACTCTTAGACCTCGTTCACTTTTCAGGAAGTTACTTACTGATATTCCTTTATTTTCCAGGCAAATGAGACAATAACTGTTTTAACCATAAAAAGTCATTATTAAAAAAGGTAATTTTGTCTCATCCAAGTTGATAACTTTTTCCCTAAGTGTGAAAGTTACTTACCCATTTGAGAGATGAATAAAATAAATTGTTCATAAACCCCAAGATAAATATGAAAAAAGAATATGAATTTTTTAATCAATGGGAACCAAAATCCCATTTACATCGCATTTTTTTACTTCCCTCTTCCTCTTTCCTATTTCTCCCGTTTCTCTTCTTTCACAGCAAGGGCAAATATTGATGAGGGGGGTGTGCAGCAGCAGCTCAACTACTACTTGTTGAATGCATAGAATGAACACAAAGGATTGATTGGATAATGTTTGGAACTTAAGTTATAGTTTAGTATAATTTAAAAAATAAAAGTCTTATGGTCTAATTTAATGGCATGATGTAATATGAAAATTGAATTTCCAAAAACTCAAGGTAATTTACTTTAGGGATACTTAAATTAATTGTTAGATTGTTGAGGGTCACTTCAAGTAATTAACCCTATTGCTTTTTATCGAATAAACTTTAAAGCAGATTGTAAGTTCATAAGAGTCCAAAACTGAGAGTCCCTTTGAGAGGGCTTTTGCCATGCATGACTGAGCTGCATTGACTGAGCCACTGCGCGTGGATAAGTTACGTGTTAAATGGTTTCATTGCAAAATCGAGTGATTTCGAACCGCCCTTAACCGGGACAATCGGACCGTTCGGCTTGGAATCATTCAGTCAATCAGTTATGTTTTATTTTAAACTCGATTTTTGGCCCAAAATCATTGAATTGGTCAATAATTTGTTGATTTGGGCGATCGAATTGTTGACTCATTTAACTCGTTCAATAGTTTTGACCGTTTTTAATTTTAATTATTTTTTTAATTTTTTAAAATTCTTTGTTAAAATGAATTGTTCGTTCGAACCAGATGGTTGAACTGTCAATCTGAAAATTGGTGGCCAAAACCAAACTTTTTAAAACTGAATCGGGCAACAAACCGTTCAGGGGTTTGGTTCCCGAGTTGAACGGTCTGACCGTTTGAAAAAAATTAAAAACGGCCAAAAAATCATTTAGTGGTCGAACAACTCAAATGCCCGAATCAATGGTTTGATGACCAAATCAACGGTTTTTGGCCAAAAGACAATTCTGGGGTAAAATGGAACCATGACTAATTCCCGGTTTTTCCAATCCAACCGTCCGATCCAGTCCAATTTTAAAAACCATGGCAAAAACGATTCCAATACAAGGGTCGGTTTTAAATTAAAAGATCGGAAAAATCTATTTTGTGGCTTTTATAATAAGCTTATTTCTAACTATTTGGATTTTTACTAAACACAGTTTGATGGTGTTTCTAGGTTTTTGTGCTTATACAATAGTAGAAGCTGCTGCCCGAATGCCCTCCCATATGAAAACCGACTCACCGAAGCCACTACACTTGGTCATAGACCTGGCAATTGGGTTGGGTGGGTCGGGTTCGGGTTGGGTCAAGGTACTTCAGGTTGATTTCGGGTTGGGTTGAATTTCGAGTTGGGTTGTTAAATGCTAGACCCTAGCCCTAAATGTTCGGGTTAGGGTTGACCCATGGGTCAATTCGGGTCATCCCAAAAATGTCAAAATTAAAAGAATTAACCTTAAAATTCCAAATATAAAATAAAAAGCTTGAACATTTAACAATTTAAAGAGTAAACAATAAAAAGTAAAGACTAAATAGAAAAAATTAAAGAGTGGAAACTTCTAACAATGCATAAATAATCCCAATTAGACTTGACAATTGGGTCAGTGAATTGACCCATGACCCAACCCAACCCAACCCAGCTTTTTTCGGGTCAGGTCGGGTCGGATCGGGTCATTTTCACATTCGGGTAGCTAAGTATGAGACCCTAACCCTGTTTTTTCGGATTGAATTGAGTCAGGTTCGTGGGTTGAGTCAACTTTTTGCCAGGTCTACTTTGTCATTATCAAACGGCCTTGGATTGGGTGACGTAATAGTTCAAGTCTCATGACTCTCTCTCTCTATATATAGAGATTATAGAGGGTCTATATGGCCTTAGTGAGGTAGAACCGTGTATACGTCATGGGAGTAGTTGAAGAATGTCCCCCAAATATATATTCCACCTATGCATGTACTGTCTAAGGGGCTTTTTTCTTTGAATAAGTGTAAGGGGCAAATACCATGGGCTGGTCCGAGCAAAATAAAATTCAGTCTAAGGGGCTTTGTTTGAATTTATTTTTATTTTATTTGGTTTTTTTAATTTTATTATTTATTTTTCTCTGTTGATCATCAGTTTATCTGTAAATTAAAATATTTGTTTTGTTTAGCACACTGATCTCAAAGTTTTAATTGGTCGTCTTTGACATGGACCAGGCATGATAGATCCCTCGTAGACTTTCTCCAAGTATGAATTGAGTATTTAGAAATCATTATGAGGGTGTTTAGAAGGACGTTTATTCAATAAATGCTGTCATATAGGCGCCACTTTAGCAGTTCCCTTCTCATGTTCTTCTGTATGCATTGAGAATAGCAAAATGTGACTTTGATTTCTGTGCACGATTACTGTTTGGGGAAACTATTTTTTAAAGATTCTCTCAACGGTTATGCGTTTTTCACTGTTATGCTGATGTGGTGCCTAACTGTCATAAATAGTTGTAATTATTACTTTTCTCGGTTTTACAAACAAATAAAATGCAAACATTGAATGAAAAAATGTAAATGGAACCAAGCACATACTATATTTAACATTTTATTAGTTTTTGACCTCACCCTCCAGTTTAAACTTTGTTTTTAAGATAATCCACTAAGCTAATTCATTACATCTTATCCTTCATAAATACATGCCAAAGAAAGTCAGGAGATTTGGACCATGTCATTGGTTGAGAATTATTACAGTCAATTTTAGCTAAGGTATGGGCCACAAAATTGCTTGTATGCATTGTTTTAAAAAGCTTAAGCCTTGAGGCATGTGGCTTACACCTTGAAGCAAGGCGTACAGATTTTGGCTCAAGGCTTAAGTCTCACAACATTGATATATGGCTTAAGCCTTTGTCAAGATGAGGCATAAGCCTCAAGACCCAAGGCATGAGGCGTAACTTGAAGCATAAAAAGGCGTAAGCCTCATGTACCAGTGACTATTTAGCGATTTAATACAATAAAAATATATATAATTGATGCATTTTCTAGTTCAAAATATATGTAAGAAACAATTCAATAGTTATGAGCCAAATAAATAAATAGTAAAAATGAAAAACCAATTGGGGAAATCAACTTCTATTAGTTTCTCTTAGGCCCCGTTCGCCTTTTGGTAAGTTACTTACCCGGGTAAATGCAATTACCTAGTTAAGTTTTTCCTGGAAAACAC